GCTCTCAGGTCCAGGACATTCCCATACAAAACAAGGTAATCCCTCCCCTGTGCCTGGGAGATAATTGAGTCAGGAACTGAACTAACTCAATTATCTCCAGGCACAGAAAACACACATTTCCCGAACACCCCAAAACTACCTTAAAAATACATAAAACCCCATAAAAGTTACATCCTCTGATAGCCCCGATCTGAGTGACCAACATATCCAAAAATCACCCAGATTCAGAGGTTCAGGAATTTCCTGGAAGTTATAATTTGACCGACTGCAAATCAGTTTCAGAGAAGAAGGGCTTGCAGTCGGTCTAGTTCGGTAGTTTAAAAACCGAACAAACTACCAAACATAATCAATGTTCTTACCCTGGAGATTGTTTCCCTTGTTCATGGGAACGTTTCCTCCGAACAGTGTCTTTCTAAGTGTTGTAGAACCGAACACAGGCGATCATGGAAGTCCAGTGGGGTTCGGGATTTTCGGTGCCCGAAAATAGTTCCATGAACTCGACGACAAAACACCGCTGCCTGTGTTCATGCGAACAAGATGGCCGCCACCTTGTGGTCGTCCATAGGAAATGCAGTCACCCAGATGAACACTTAGAACACTGAGGTGGAAATTTCTACAAAGTTTTCATTAGGCTTAACAGGGTGGTCTCTGGTTCCTGCGGCTGTTCGGTTCCAGAACCATATAGCCCAAATACACAAACTGAGACTTTTATATTACATTTTACAGGGTCCATAGTCTGTGGGCAGAAGGCTGGCAAGCAGGCTCTTCCAGGAGCTTGTGGCAAACTCACTTGGAAAGGGGAGTTTGTCGCACATATGCCCTGAGGTTGATCTGACAACTGCTCTTCCACAACTTAACCTACCAGAAGACACCCTACAGGGTTGGCCTGGCCTGTTGTTCGGATAACAATTGGCACCACCATGAGAACAGAGGCTGACATCAGGGCCGATGTTTAGCAGTGCCATCAGGAAACTCGTCATCTCTTATCCACTCTACACACTGACCTGAACTTTGCTGACTATATCACTTCATAATTAGTTATACTTGTTTCCCCTTTCATTTACTCTGTGTCATCCAGTTACTATGATTATCGACCCAAAATGTTACTTGATGTTTTGCTGTGAAGATAGGGCCTCTAACCACGCACTGAATTCTTTTAGTCCCATATATCTTACAAATTCCCCATTAGGGGTTAATTGATAACCATTCGCACAGACCAGAACTAAAAGTTGTACTTAGTAGATATTTGTTGCCCCTCCTCCTGATAGAAGGGGAGTTAAGTTAAACAATATTGATAAAATAAAAAAATAAAAAATAATTTACCTCCTCTGATCCTAAACATTTTGCCGTAGGCGTCCCTTTTACTTGAGGACTATTTACAAACCACAAACAGGCTCTTATATGTGATTGCAACCATCCATAGCGTAGTTGTAACCATAATGGGTCCTTGAATGAGGACTGAACATAATTATCTTCCCCATAGATGCACAGTTTGCTTTATTCTATTGATGGTATTCTAAATATCATGGATACTAGAGGTTAATCTGGGGATTCAAGTCTTGCCTGAACTTATGAGTTCACACCCCCAGGAGCAGTGCTTTGAATACTGAGACCTTTAGGTGACCCAATATAACAGGTCCTCTGTATTTAAGGTATCAGGCACTGTACTCCACAATTTTAAAATGTATAACACAGTATTTTCTGGTTACACCCCTCAGCCTAGCCTCCTGCCCTCCCGGTTTAAATTTTCTTACATTCATTGCCGGAGTCATCCTTTAAAATAAAGCAAAAACAAAACAAAATATATTGATGAGATAAATACACACATAAACCTACTAAGGCTAGAAATGGCTTTTGAACATGACCAACTGAGAATCTTATCAACACTAAATGTCTGAATGTCCCAGTAAAGAGACATGTTGCCTTGAGAGATTTCCACAGTCATATGACCTCTGTAGTAATTATCCAAGAAACTCTATTTTGAGAGGGTAGGAGCCCCCAAATAAAAAATGCACATAACTACTATGCAGGTTCTACAGTAATTCACAATATGATAAAAAGAGGGAGGTTGCTATCCTATTTGCCTAACTCATCACAATATATTATCTTATTTAGGATTATGTCTCAGCTGTCTGGCTTCCAGGAGGGATCCCTTATCTTGGGAGGCAATCATAATGTCCCTATGGACCCCCGTTTGGACACCTCTGTGGATAGCTCCAACATTCCGTCTGGATCACTTTGAGCAATCAGAATATCCTTACACGATCTGTGCCTCTCTTATTGTTGACGTGCCAAGCATCCGGGGACAGAGATTACACATTCTACAGCTCACTACTCATGACTTATAGTAGAATAGCGTACATCTTACTCCCATTTAGCCAGCTACACCTAATAGACTCTTCCGACATTCTCCCAATAAATTGGACAGACGGCTCCCCAGTCTTCATTACCTTAATGTCTCCATTACACAGATCAAAATGTTCTCACAGGAGACTACATGAGATACTCATAGATGTCCCTGCAATAAAAGATGGACTTAGGTCTCTAATCCAACAATACTTCAAAGAAAATGGTCTGCTGGATTTGCCCCCCACCTCTTCGGAAAGCCCACAACGCCGTAACTAGAGGATACCTGATCCAATGGGGAGCTATACGAAAATGAGAGTCCCAGAGGCAGGTATAGAGCCTTATTACTCAGATTGGTGACAAGGAGAGAAAACACACTATGTCAGAGGGAGATTACACTCAATTATTACATCGTAAATCCCAGCTCAATATCCAAGCATCTAAAATCATACACACATTGAAAAGATTTTTTATAAGCTAGGTAATAACAGTAAAATATGTAGGTGAAAGCCCTTCAGAAGGCAAGGTCCCTATCTTATGTTCTGAGACTCAGACTGACAGATGGATCTCACAAACAATCACCAGAGGATATGCTCTCGATGTTTCAAAACTGCTATTGTTCCCTGTACAAGATAGGGAACACCTCACACACAGCTAACCCAAATGCTCACCAAGGCCACATTGACAGCCACCTCACAAAACACTTGACCTCAGTTCTTACACCAGAGTAAAGAGAGTCCCTAGAGTCCATTATCACCTTAGGAGAAACTGAAATATACCCTTAAAACCAACCCATTGGGTGGGGCCAGATGACATGCAGATGAGATGCAGTCCAATACTACAAGAGCTAAAGAAAACCTTTGTGCTACATAATTTTTAGAGTCTTGCAACGATCTAATACATGGGGCACAACTTCACACTGATAACCTGATGGCGACCATTATGGTCCTCCCGAAATAAGGAAAAGACATAGAACTCTGCCTTAGTTATAAGCCCATCTCCCTGCTCAATGCAGACCTCAAGTTGTTGCAAAAATTCTAACAAACCACTTTAAAAAAAATATATCACATACTCTGCCTTATAGGTCCAGATCAGGTTGGTTTTGTTTCATGCAGAGTGGCAAGAGATGGGACTTCCAGGGTTGTTAATCTTATCGACAGAGAAAGCCTCTCAGGATCTATGCTGGGAAAACTTGAAGGAACATTATAGGATCAGAAACACAAACATGTATTCCTGACCCTATAGTGCAAAACCCACCATTAAGGTGGCTTGCCCCCCTTATCCTTTTAAAAGCATGAAAAATTCACCTTATTTCCAGTGCCGTGCGGGTTCATGGCACTGGCCCCGCCCCCTTGGTGACAATCAGAATTGCCGATTTTTAGCCAATGGATTGGCTAAAATTGTCAAGGGGGCGGGGTCAAACACAATTTTGGCCAATCAGCACCTCCCCATAGAAATGCATTGAATGAATGCATCTCTATGAGGAAAATTCAGCATCTCCATGCAGAGCATGGGGACGCTAAACGGCACTGCTGCTTACTGTGCAGCCCTAAGCCAGGAAACCCCTCCAGTGGCCATCTGAAGAGTGGCCATTTGGAGGTGTCCCTAGGGGCAATGTAAACACTGCATGAAAATGCCTGAAGGGAGCTATTATACTCACCAGAACAACTAAATTAAGCTGTAGTTGTTCTGGTGACTATAGTGTCCCTTTAATAAAAAGTGATCATTTGTTGCAATTCATCTAAGAACAGCACTTTATAGATGCCTGCCAATTAATTTTTTATAAAAAAACAAACAAAAACAAAACACAATGTCAATAGATTTGTGGCAATTTACATCTGAAAATTCGACAATGTGGCCACATAGAGATAGAGGAAGGGCTACTGCATTACCCAAAAATCTAAATTAAATAACCTGTTAACTCTGTGGCAGCACAACTAGATGCCACATGTGCACAGGGATTTACAATTTATTTGGTCCTTCAAATATATTATATTTAGCAGCCCCTGTGCACACTTGGCATCTAGTTTCCTAATTTCTTTATTCTTTAAAAAGTCTACAATACTGCAACCTGGTCCACTACGCACGCACAAGCCACATGGTTCTCTTTACATAGAACACCTAGCAAATATTCATGAAGCATTTAACAGTTATAATTAAAGTTTACAATACACAAGTTAAGGAGTGGCAGCTTTATTTAAACATATTACATTTATTTAAGAATCTTATTTTGTCCGTCTTTATCGCATGCTGCATATTAAGTGCCGCATTATTTCTTTATTACTCAACTTTTATACCATACACTGATGGAAAAGTAAGCAATAGCACAGACATTGCAATCCAAGGCTGTGTGACCTTGCACCTCTGCACTCTTTTTTTTTTCCAATTTATATTTTTTTAATTAAGTGAATGACATCGTTATCAAACTTTTTCATTCATTATGATAAATGAACAACGTATAGTAAGCAACATATTAGGAGACTGCTGGTGTTATAACAGTAACAGCATGTCTCTTGGGGTCAACAGGTATGGCAACCTTAGGCAACTTGGTGTTTGGAACCCAGTGGCTAAGTTATCAGTGCTAGGTAAGTCCCGGCCTCTGAGCAGGAGTTGGTTAGGTCTCCGGACCACGGCATCCATGGAACTAACTCGCGTCAAGTGAGGCTTCTGATGTGGTATGGGCTAGTCAGTGTTCCCGAAGCGCTGAGGCCGGCGTCCCGGCTTCTTGCTTGTGGGTGCACTTTCTTGGGTATGGTCTGTTGCGGTTGTGTAGTCGCATTGTTGTTCCTAATTTCATGGTCCCAGTCCTTATTTTTTGCCTCTGGAGAAGCTCCTCGTGGGTTAATGGACAATCCCAGTGCCTGCAGGTGCGGCTCTGGATCTTCCGCTGACGTCAGCGTAATTGTCTCTCTTCCACTCTCTACAAAGAGGGACACCTCTAATCCCCAGCAGTATTTCATGGAGTGTTCTCTTAGTCGACTAGCGACTGGAGCCAGCTTCCTTTTCTCTACCAGGACTGAGAACGGGATATCCACATATATAGCAACAGTGTGCCCCTTATAATGTATCGTCCCCATCTCCCTCGAGCAGGTCATAATCACAGATCTCACTGCGATAAGTCTTGTCACCGCGATTATACCTCTGGTCCTGCTGATTTTTCTTCTTTTTCCACCCTATGCTTGTGGGGGGTGCTGTTTTGGTGCAAAAGTTCCACTCTTTGTGGCTCTAAGTCTTAGGTTTCACCTAGGCCCGGTCAGAGCTCAGGGAAAAGACGTCTTCGTTGGAGCTCTGTTGTCCACACTCCCACACCTCTGCACTCTTTACAAGTCATATATTTGCATTCTTGTGTCAGAAAGGAAGATCTTTCTTCTACCTCTGAATCATAGAGCTTTGCAGAACAAGAAGAGCCTGTGTAAAATGAAAAATTCTGTATCACTCCAGACCAATGGAGGTGAACTATGGAACATATTGTATGTAACAACTCTCAGAGTCTTCTAAGGGTAATACTTGAGTGTCAAAGATTGACAACTAACAGGCACTACATACAGTTTGCACCATAATGCCTTTATCAGGTGGCTGGTTGCAACTAGATGTAAAATTGTCACTCAACAAGCACCATAACACTCAGTTGACGCTCTCAGCCTATCACTGCCCACCACCGCTGGTATAGCATGAAGTAGAGCAAAGCTCCAACTATGCCATTTTGTCATTGAAGGCTGGACTGCAGGCTGCCAGGCATTAAGCATCTCTGCTAAATGGTGAGTAACTGGTTTAGCAGTCATGCGGGACTCAGCAACATAAACCCTGTAAAGTACTTGTAGGTATTATGTTGTCCCTTTAAGGGTGCATATTTGGGTATGCCTGGGAGGCATGTTTAGTACGGGTAGGAAGAATAACAAAATATGGGTCCCAGCTTTACAAAAGCAGAAAACATCTCACCTGCTCCGTCACATACAAGAACGGACCGTTTGTGTTTGTGTTTGTGTGTCTGTGTGTGTCTGTGTATTGTTGCATGTTTAATTTTCATGCAACATACGTAAAACACAGACTATTTGCATTTTATGTGAACACTGTAGGACAGTTGTAATTATTCCCACATGAATAACTGAGAATATTCAGTATCTGTAACAGTATTTGTTGCTTGTTTTATTTCATCTAAAGAAATAATGTAATATTTGCTTTAAATTATTCGTAGTATTCATTACTACCTTCCATTTTAATTATGTTCTTCAAGTTTCTCCATTCTTTTAAACTCCTACTTTTTCATATGTTTGTACTTTGTTGGTCTGGAATTAACCCACATTTGCTCAGATCCTTTTTATGAATGTATTAAGGACTTAAATGATTTCTTCTACAATTTGTAATATTTTCCATTTTACCAACAGCTGCGTTTTTGAATTCTGAATTTCCATAAAGAGCCATAATCTTCTGCAATTGTCATAAATAAACATAGAAATGTGTCATTGCATTTCTGATTGTGTTTTGGTAAATAATATGGGAATTAATCTCTCAGGACTAGAGAATTAAATTATAAAATTAAAGGATTAGATAGGCTAATTAACATGTTCAATGTATTTCAATAAACTCTGGAGTTTTGGAGAATTGACCAGGGAATTACAAATTTTGCAGACTGGAGATTTTTTTTCTACCTCTGGTATTTTGATTAAAATGTGGAAATTCTCCATTCAATTACGTATTTATTGAATAAGCTAGCAACTGATTTAGAAAAAAGAAGACGGCACGACAATCAGCAATGAAGAGCTCACTGTCAGCAACATAATAAATAGCAGGAAACGGTAAAAATAAGTAAAAAAAAAACCATAAAAGCGGTAAAAATAAAAGTATAGGAGTAACATTATAAAATTATACAAACAAAATAAAAAAAAATCTATAAAACATAAAAAAACCCTAATAATGTCTTAAAATAATCCTGTTATGATCAAGGTGAGTACAACAAAGTACATTCTCTTCAAGGGAGCAATACACTAAAACAAAAATATTAATTTTACAATATAAATGTTATTCCAATCAGAAATTGTCTTCTGATCTTGAGTTGCTCATCAGTATTTTTGATTGAGGACTCCAACTGAGTTCTAGAACACATGACATAAAGAGCTAAATAAAAAACAATTACCATGGAAACCAATAGAACAGTGGTCCCCAAAATGTAGATCCCCAGATGTTTTAAAACTACAGCTTCCGTGATGGTTTGTCGTTCTAAAGGTATCCAAAGGATCATGGGAGTTGTTGTTCTACAACATCTGGGTATCTACCTTTTGGGCGCTCCTGCAAAATAGAACATTTCTCAACATTTAGCAACTTGTACCCAAAATAGCTCCTGTCCAGCCTTGACAAAACTGTCTCATCGCCCCATGGAGTGAATTCCTGTATTGCAAACCTTATATTGGGCGATAATGTAGTTGAGTGCTTGGCATACTTCAACAGCATAGTTGCATTATATAAAATTGGTAGCAATTTGGCTAGCACAGTATATAAAATAATGATATAGCTTGTGCATTTTTCAAAATGCCAACAACCTGATTTAATTGTACCAAAATGTGATCAGCTCATCATCAATATTCTTCTTGAGGTCCAAACAGCAAACAGAATTTAACCAAATGCATCATAAATCACCCACTTGCTGTATCTCACTGATACATTGAGGTTTATTTTCTAAAAAGTAAACGGACGTGAGCAAAAAACAGAATTGCAAAAGTTAGGCCAAAATAACAGAGTTAAGGCTCTCCCAAAATGAGATGGTTTTGCAACTCAGCTTCAGTGTACATTTTTGATTTAGTTTTGAATTCATCATAATTTACTGAAAATCATAATTTACAGATCCAGTAGTATCAGAAAAGAACAAAAATGATAACTAGATATGTCAAAAGTAGGTTGCCTCAAAAAAATTCAATCAGTTAGAGGACAGTAAAATATAAATGTGAGGGACTATACTCTACAAAGCATAAATCGTGTTTGTTTGTTGTTTCACGGCACATGTTTCTAAAACATACGATGCTCATGATACCATAAGGTATGAGAACCATATTTGAAGACTATCCACCAAAGCACGTCTATGTAGAATTGGAGGAATTTAACATCTGCATTACACTTCCTATGCTGGTGTCAGGAATACTGCAAGATCCTACACGCAGTGTGTAAATGTTAATGTAAATGTATACTGTACCTTAAAGTGGCTGGACTTCATGTTAGAGAGACAGAGAATGGGACAAGCCGGACTCAGGGAAACCAGGAGTCAGGGAAGCGAGGTACATTAGCCGAGTCAAGGATTATAGAATGGAGAATAACCACAATAGCCAAGATCAATGAACCAAAAAAAGCAGAGAGTATTATAACGCGCTATTGGAAATCAATATAGAACCACAACATGACAAGGACCTATGCCCTGACAACCTTTCTATAGTGTGGCTCTTTAATGTTGTAGCCACGCCCTCAAAACTTTCAAATTTAAGCATTTTGGACTATCAAGACGTCATTAGCATTATGACATTGGTTAACACGTGCCGCATCATGAAAGGCAGCGGAGCTACGTCGTCTGGCGTTGGAACGGCTAAGGAGAGGAGAGAGACTATGGGAAAGGTCCCTCTCCACTTGATGGATGTCCAGCCTGGGAAACACAAGGTATTGTGACAGCTGGTCCTCACATGCAATAATCTACGTGGCTGCAAAGAGCCACAAGATAATGGTTCAAGATATACAGTCATATCGGGCTATTTTCACTAATCCCAAGTCCAGTACAAAAAAAAAAAAAATTCTGAACAAGAGTGAGATATATGAAGTTAGCATTGCATTCTAAAAAATTACTTTTCAACAAATCTAAAACCTGTAAGACTATTTTGAATGTCAGACATGATCAGTTCCACCAACAGTAAAGCACGGCAGTCTGACTATCATACTAAGACAGTGCTTTGCTGCCTCAGGATTCAGACATCTTGCAATCAGTGTGGGAACACTAAAGCTTGGATTGTAATGACAATTGCACAGTAGACTATCACAAAGTCCATTCGTGAACTGAACTTTGACAGAATATGGGCTACTTCTCATTACATGGACTTTCAACACACACCAGCACATATCCGGTAGATGGGTTTTGTCAAGACATAAAATATAAGGATCAATTAGTTTAGTCGGTTATATAAATTAAAATGAACCAAATTCCATAATTCAATGTACGTGATAGATTAGGAAATATAGGAAATATATAGTTGAAGTTGCAAAGATTGTAAATTGGGAATCAAAGTGTTCAATAGCGAGGTGAGCATTTTTTTTGTGTATGTATTTAATCAGATACTCTTTATAATTATGATTTTTGAATCTGATGATCCGCAAACTATCTTTTTACACTGTAATTGACATTATTACGATTTTAAAGTGCAACATTTTATTTTCTTGCGTAAGTAGTAAGCTTTTAACAAAATAAAAATGTACTTAACAAAACCTAAATGTTCGTAATGAATATTCTCAGAAAATAAATATCACTGTATGAGGCAGATCTGAAAAGAAAAAAAAAAAAAGAGAAAAAAAATATATCAATAAAGCTTTGAATCTAAAAGTATGACCACCATACTGGGCAGACGCGTGGCTGCCGAGCTCCTCACATAACTGCACATAAAGCTTGAAATTACGCATTCCACACCTATCACTAACATCCAGCAGCAGCATCTCTGTACCTGGCAACAAGTGGACTCCTATTGGTGCATTTCTGAGATGTGTACTGCTGGATAGTTGAACCTTGCAGCCGCGGCCTAGCGGGACCTGATTAGGAGGGGCGGCCGACCTCCATGTTCGGGCTCCATTGTACAGGTGGCTGGCGGGCCTTGTATCCCCCTTTGGACAGGTGGGGATTATACTGGTCCCCACCGCAACAGTGTAGGACACATACCTGCAGTCTGATACGACACCACGGGGCAGCGCCTTTGATCTCAAGAAGGTGACGGTCCTCAAGCATTCTGCAGGGTTAGCAACAGATCCACTCTTAAGCTGGAAGGAGGCCTTTTGTGCCAAATTTGACCACACCTGTGCACGATTCTGGCAACGAATAAAGGCAAGAGCTCTGCAA